CCTTCCTTCCTTCCTTCCTTCCTTCCTTCCTTCCTTCCTTCCTTCCTTCCTTCCTTCCTTTCTCTCTCTCTCTTTCTTTCTTTCTTATTTTCTTTCTTTCTTTCATTCACCCACCCATCTAATCATCCATCCAATATTTTTCAAGCATCAAACTCATGCCAGGTGCTGGACTAATTGATTTAACTATGAGTTAGATAGAAATGGCCTTTGGCTCTTGGGAAATAAGGGGAATTCCAGGAGCAGAGTAGTGGGGACCATGAGAAGGCTTCCTGGAGGAAGCCCCATTAGAAGCTAAAGCCTGAAGGATGAGGAGGACCTCAGACAGAGGAAAAAAGTTCCAGAAAGAGGAGGCAGCACGTGTGAAGGGCTGGAGAGAGCATGGCCAGCAGGGGAACCAATAAGCTCAGTGGGGCAGGGCTTGGTGAAGGGAGGGGCAGAGTTGAGAGTGGGGTCAGCATGTGTGACACATCAGGAGATTTCAGCTTTTATCCCAAGAGCCACAAGGAACCAATGAAAGGTTTTCAGTGAGACAACGAAGTGCTGAGATGGGCTTCTGCTGGTTTTCCCAGAGACAGATCTTGAGACAGGGATGTGTGGGCAGGTAGTTTATGTGGGAGGTGATTCCAGGAAGTACTGGCAGGGGAGCGGGGAATTGAGAGAGGGAAGGGAGTCAGCCAAGAGAGTGCGTGTGGTCAACCTCACCTCTGTGGGTACTAGAGCTTAACCCAGCTGGGGAACTCTGGGAGCCAGCATAGAATTTCCCTTCAGAGTTATTCCCCTCAAGGGGAGGGAGCTGGGGTATTTATAGATCACCTCCATGGGCCACTGAGGACTGCTCTGGGCTGGGTGGGGCACAGACACGCCCCGGCACTGCGGCCTTCCAATGGGGCAGACGGAGCAGGCCGCAGTGTGGGCCTTTGGGCGGAGGTGCAGGGGCTGGCCTCCAGCGGGGCTCCCGGGGACAGGGGCCGGGTGCTGGTGCCACTGTGGTTATGAGGTGGAGGGACAGGGAGGGTCAGGCAGGAGCCTTGAGGTCCGTGAGGAGGCAACAGGGAGGCTTATCCAAGCAATGGATGTTAGTAGCCTGAGCTGGAGAAGCTGTGGTTATGGGCAGAGGGGGACAATGTCAGGATGCAGAGATGGCTGGCCTTGGTGACAAATGTAGGGGAATGAAGCCTCTCGAAGCCACAAGGGGTTCTCACACCTCCCCAAGGCTCTCCCTCATCCCCGCGCTGCTGCTGCTGCTTCTCCCGCAGGCCCTCCTCCGTTACAGGCGTCTGAGAGCTGACGCAGGCCCGGCGCAGCCAGCGCCGTGGCCCAGAGACCACGAAGCATGTTTGAAGGGGGATGAAGGTGCTGTGGCAACTGCTTAAGAACACAGGCTGGGCTGACGTCGGTGCTGGCCCCAAGACTTGGAAGAGATCACTAGGACTCGTGTGTGTGTGTGTGTGTGTGTGTGTGTGTGTGTGTGTGTAGGAATGTGAAAATGAGAGCAGTGCACCCCAGGCAAACCCCCAACCCTGAATGTCACCCTGCTCCCTGTAGCTTCCCTTATGCCCACATCTGTGTCCCATCTGGCCTCACAAGAACAGATGGTCTGCACGGCTTGTTCACTGGCCCCCCAGGACCAGCTCACAGCAGGTCCTGCGTCTGCTGAATGACGGAACTGTGAGTGGTCCCTGCCCTTCTGGGCTCCATGTCCTTGGGAGAGAGGGGGAGGGAGGTGTTGGGGACAGTTGATTGGTGATTCTAAGGACAAGGGCTCCCAAGGGTGGGTGGGATGGTGGTTGGAAAAGGGGATGGGGGTGCTGCAGCAGGGAGAGAGAAGATGGGATGGTGTCATCAGCCAGGGTTTAGAGTTGTCAGCACTAGAATCCAAGGGTGGATGAAATAAGTAGAAAAAGAAACCAGTGACCGATGGGAGGTGACGGCTGGATGCCCGCTCCTTCGGTCCCCAGCTTTGATAACTCTGAGGTCCGAGCACTCCGCTGCCTGCAGCTGTGACTCGCCTGCTAATGCACGTTTAAAGGGTCCGCAGTCCTTTCTCCGGCTCCCTTCCCCGCTCCCTTCCTGGAGCTCCCTGTAGCTGCCTCCCACGTAAACCACTGCACTCAGATCCTGACTCTTTTGGAGGGACTCCACACCTGTGACAGGTGCATCTAACCAGCAGACCCAGCCATATGTCTTTTCCTAGTTTCAGGAGAGGCTGGAGAAGCAAGAATCGGGCATTTTCAGCTTCTGGATGGGAGGGGCTCCCTGTTTCCCACCCGGAGTCGGAGTCGTAGGTGGTATGTCACCAGGGTCCCCATAGGAGGCTGTCTCAGTCCGTTTGAGCTGCTACAACAAAATACCACAAACTGAATGGCTTAGAAAAAACAGACATTTATTTCTCACAGTTCTGGAGGTTGGAAGACCAAGATTGCGGTGCCAGCAGATTCAGCGGGCCCACTTCCTGGTTCACAAGTGGCGCCTTCTCGCTGTGTCCTCGCATGGAGCAAAGGGCGAGTAGTCTCTCTGGGCCCTCTTTCATAAGGGCAGTGATCCCATATGGTCACCTCCCAAAGGCCCCACCTCCTAACACCTTTGAGGGGACACACTCAGACTGCAGCAAAAGCCCATGGCATATTCAAATGATAATAATTTCAGGGGGCTGTTTATAAAGGGCCTATTTCCAAAGATGTAGGGGGGCTGGGGATGCATGAGGGACAGTGCAGGGACTCGGGATTCATAGCTTTCGAGCTGTGACCACCCCGAGGTCTAAAGGGATGAGGGAAGAGGCGGTTGCTGGAATCCGGGAAGAAGGAGGGAGCTGAGCAGAGGGACCCGGAGAGGCAGATGGGCACAGCCAGCCCAAGGCCACCTCACTGAGAGACACCGAGGGGAGTAAATGCCTAACCCCTTTGCCCTCCACTCCCTGCCATCGCTTGCCCCCTGACAGACAGGCTCAGACAGGTCAGCCCCCTGGGCCAGAGCGGGGTGGAGCAGGGGGCAGGCAAGACCTGGAGGGCAAATGGAAGATTTCTGGTAAAGCGGGAAATTTCCTGAACAAATGAGGGGCCTCAGGTGTGACAAAGTGTCTCAAAGTCCATGAGGGATGGAAATAAAAATGTCAAGTTGAGTTTTGAGTGAGGGCTGAGGGCTCCGTAGCGGCCCCTCAACAGGAGCGGGCCCTTCCTTCTCCGTGGTCATACCCCACCAGCTCCCCCAGGAGCCCGCCTGTCTGAGCCCTCTTGCCCCTTCCAAAGCTGTGCTTGGCGCGGCGTCAGGATTCGAGGAGACCTGGCTCTGCCACTAACTGCGGTAACCACAGTTCAATCCCTTCTCCTTCTGGGCCGCACTTTCCCTATAGGGGCTACCAGAAGGGTTAACCAGATGACTTTTCAGGACCCTTTCATAGCACTGACCTTCTAGAAAAGCTTCTGGCTCCCTGAGGAGGAAGTAAAACAAAGACTGTCCTTTCGGGGAAACCAAGGCTCAGGGAGCAGAGAGACTTGGCGGAGGTCACTGACCACGTGGGCACTTCCCTGAGCCAGGCCTGTCCTGTCCCTGCTCTCTCAAGGTGGCAGGGGGCAGGGCGGTTATAGCTCCCACCCATGTTTGTTTTCAGTTAGTGCTGTGGCCAGTGTGAATTTTCAAGATTTCTCTTCTGCCCTTGTTTGTGTGTGTGGCTGTGAACGGAAGCGTGTTAAGCACGGTGGTTTTAAGCTGGCTTTAAGAGCTCACCAGTCCCTCCTGCCCCACTGCGGCACTCAGGGTCGGTGTCCTTTTGGGACTTCAGAGCCGAGGGATCCACATGAATCCCAAGGGGCTTAATTTATAAAGAGTTTCAAAGAGAGTCAAGAGGGCTGCGCCGCAGCTCGGAGCCCCTCTGACCACAGCCCTGCCCGGCCCGAACCCACCACATCCAGGAGGCCGCCCTGAATCTTGCCACCCTGTTCTGAGGTCCGAGTCCCAGACACATGAAACAAAAACCATTTCATTTGATATCAGACCCCGAGGCTCTGGCGTTTGCTTCACACCAAGGCCAGGAAAATCTCCAACACTACCTTTTCCTTTGGCCTGTCAAACAGGTTCTGTTGAAGTCAAAGTTTCCAAACCGATTGCTTCAGATCAGTTGTGGCCTGCAAACGTGTTCTCTTTGGTTTGTACCATGTTTTCCCACGTTGGTTTATTTTTACAAGGTGAAATGGATTGTCAACAATTAGAATGAAATTGGTGTTTCTTGTTGCTTTAAGATCCCAGAACACTGAGCATCGCTGGGCTCACGTTCCTGCCTGGGAATGTCTGGCTGGGTCAGAGCTACAGCCCCTCTCGTTAAGACACGTGCCCTGCAGTTCACCGTAGTCCTCACCACCCCCTCCTGTCTCCCGGCTGGGAGCTGAATGGCCATTGCCACTTATCACCAAGTTTATGCTGCTGTTTCTGCAATCAGAGAGTTACGTGGGAAGTAAAATATTTTGGGTCCCCACATTTTCAACCAAAGTGCCCCTGGGGTGAGCCACCTGCTCTGCTGCGTGGGGTTGCTAGAGTACAAGTTTATCTACAGGGCTGGGTTTGGTCCCCATGCCGTCTTTCGCCACAACTACCACCATCATAGTTGTCATCGCATCATGTTTATTGGTCCTCTGGCAGGTTGTATACACAATGAGACAGGTCAAGATAGCCCTTAGGTTGTCTGAGAGGCAAAGTAGGCAGGCAAGGAGACGGTAAACAGAGCCACTGGGGACGGAAGGGGTTTGATCTAATACGGTGAACAGTTCACCATGTTATACAGAACGGCAAGGGAGGCGCTTCAGCGGCACCAAGCAGCCTGGAGGGAGCGGCCGCCCGGCCTGCCGCGCTGCGCCTGGACTACGCCTGGACTACGCCTGTGTGGCTGTGACTGTAGGGCTGGGCCCAGCCCCAGCTCGTCTCCTGGGCTCAAAAATGTTGGAGACCAAGGCAGTTTGAACAGGGAGACCCAGGGCTGGTCTATACATCCAGCTGCCTCGCTGAAGAAAAAAAGCCTCCGTTTTCTACCTTTCCAGTGGGGGCATGAAGGTAGACAGACCCTGGCTCCCTCTGTGAGGACCCCTTCAGTCCAGGTACACAGGTCCTCTCAAGGCCCACCATTGTCACCACACTGCTCCGCTCCGGTTTCCAGGAGGCTCCGCAAGGAGCGGCTGGGGAGCGTAATCCAGGCAGGTTGTCCCTGCCAGGTGAGGCAGGCACTTGGCATGGTAGGAGAATTTCAACCAGCCGTGATTCAGGGGACACTGCACGATTTGATAGCCAGACTGTGGAGCCCGGTCGCAGGTGCCGAGAAGATCATCGTCCCAGCCATAGTCTGCATCCCAGACTTGCACCCTCAGGGGCCCCCCTGTGGCGAGAATCACATCCCCAAAGTCCAGCCGTGTATTCCACTGGGGGTTGTTATTGTTCCACACTGTGCCTGTCCTCAGCTCCTGGCCACCAAAGAAAACCTTTAGATAGGCATCCGTGGCAGTAACTATGTCCCCCGACAGACCTGTTGCCTGGAAGTTCATAACCACTAGCTGGGCCAGGCCTCTGTGCCGGGGACAGCAGCCCTGTCTGGTGACTGCTGAGCCATGGCACATACACTGGCAGGGGTCATGGTGGCTCTTCTGCTGTCCCTCGGGGCAGGGCCGGCTGCAGTCCTTCCAGCGTGCCTTGTGTGTCACGTACTGGCTGACGGCCTGCCTCAGTGCCTCCCGCTGTGGGTCCTGTTTATTCAAGAGCACATGCAGAGGCTCCAGGGTGTAGTCCACCAGGCCAGGGTGGTCTCGCAGTGAGTCCACCCAGGCTGAGAACTGCTCGGGTCCAGCCTGATTCCCGAACAGCAGGTCAGGCATGGAGGCGTGGTGGCCGCCTTCGACTTTGAAGCTGCGTTCCCGGTAGGTCTGGTGGAAGGAGGTTGTCATCTTGCTCTCCTTCTTCTTATCCTCACAGGCCTTGAATTGTGCTGAGGATCTGCTGAGGCTGCCTATGCTGACCTCGGCCTCCACGGACAGGCAGTCCCCCACCGCATTGGCCGTGAGCCCGTTCAGGGCCAGCTCGCAGGTGCGCAGGGCAGTGATTGCAGATATCCTGCCACCCAGCTCCATGGAGTGGATAAAGTGGGTACCATATTTGGAGATGAGTCTGAGGTAGTCGGGCTGGGTGGAGGCATTGAAGTGGGCGGGCAGGGCCCTGAGGGCCTTCTTGAAATCAGTGCTGAGCCGTGGAGAGTGCACCAGGTGAAAACTGGAGGGAGAGAAAAATGTCAGTTGGTCCCAGCAGTGCGTCGTCTTTGCCCCAGTCTGTGAGTCCCTCAAGATTGCCCAAAGTCACCTGTAAGCGGCAGAACCCAGGAAACCCCCTTTGTCTATAGCCCTTCAGCAACCTAGCTACTTTGTTGAGCTGTTTTCTCTTTTCTCTTTCAAAATAAAGATTTTTTCTTTCTTTTTAGTTGTCTAATTATAAAAGCAATGATACTGCACTGACAGGATCCCTTTAGCTTTGGACCCTAGTCCTGGGGCCTTTGTTTGTCTGTCCCTTTCACTGGGCCCCATGTGCCCGGGCTCCTGACAGTCCTGGCCATGCAGGCAGGCGGTGCCGTGTCTCGCTGTGGGGGAAATGTGACCTCCCAGTGTGAGCAGTCTGGGCAGGTCACTCAGGGCTGCCCATGGGACCCATGCATTTCTCAGGGGTGAGACTTAGGTCCCTGAGGGCTTGGCGGTGTGACTGTTCTTGCTCAGCACAGGAGTCCTAATTCCCAGCACAGAGCTTGGCAAGGTAGGCATGATTGGATGGAAGGAGGCCCAGGATGGGAGGGATCCAGCCAGGTCTCTTGCCCACAGAAGGCTGGCAATGCCCAGGAAAGAGGGAGCTGAGCACTCAGTAGGCCTGAAGACACCGTGCTGGGCCTCTCAGCGCAGCCTTGCTTCCTCTCCACCTGTCTCCTCCCTGGGCTCTTCCAGGCCAGGGCCACAGGGCACTGGACCACCTGGTGTGTGAGAACCTGAGCTGCGGCCTCCTCTTGGTGGAAGCAGCCTCGAGTCCCCACTCTGCCATTCCAGGGCTCCCAGACCACCCAGAATTTCCCGTAACTTCTCCAAGCCCCCTCTGCCACCATCCCCAGAGCGCACCTGTAGAAGCGACACTCCACTGAATCAGTGCTGAAGCTGTACTTGTCCTGTTGGCTTTTCTGGGCCGCAAAGTTGGCCTCCAAGGAATGTGAGCCGGCCACTGCTACACGAGCACTGGTGCTGGGCTTGGGGTTCACTTCCAGGTCTGCTCGCCAGTCGTTGCGGATGTTGGCAGACGCATCCCTGGCCACATCCTCTATGGAGCTGACCTGGGCCTTGACCACTTGGCGCTGGCAGACTGAGCTGTGGGCACGCCAGTCAGTGAGCACCAAGGGCAGGCGCTGGATGACGTTCTGTTGTAGGGGGTTGCGGCAGAGGGTGCAGGTGCCGTCAGGCCGTTCGAAGTGCTGCGTGTCCACTGGGAAGAAGTTTGAGCGGCGGAGGCTGGTCACATCCACACCCTCTCCTGCCAGCCACGCGCCAGGCACGACCTTGCGAACATGCCTGCACTCAGCTTTTGCAGCAGTGTAGCAGGGGGCAGGGGCCGGCGTGGGCAGCAGCAGGAGCAGGATGCCCAAGAAGGGCACACGGGTCGCCATGGAACTGTGGAGGCAGAGGGCGCTTGGGCTCCAGGAAGCTGGGGGTGCAGAGGCATGGACAACGGCCGACCCTCCCCGCAACTGTGGGTGATCAGGGCATATAGAATGGGGGAGGGAATGAGATATCTCTTAAGTCATCGAATGCCAGAGCTGGAATGGCCTTTACAAACCTGATCACCTCCCACATTGTACAAATGGGCCTAGAGAGGAAGTCACATAGCTAGAAGGAGCCCCTTGCTAGGATTTCACTACTTAAGGCTTATTGGGGATCCAGACTGATGGCCCTGTCCCCGCAGTGGCTGCTGGTGGGGAGGGGCTCTGTGTGCATACCAGGGAAACAGACAGTAGCCGTGGCAGATTTTGGAATGGACCTGGGAACTCTAGAGAAGACTGCATTCTGGGGAAGTGCCAATCTGGGCCCTAGAACAAGCTATGCTTTCCACATTCTCCCTCCCTCATTCTCCCTCTTTCCCAGTAAGACTTTAACATAAACGGAAAAGACATGAGGTGGTGCATCACCATTATTCTTCCATTTTCCCTTTGGAGCCCTCTCTCTGAGCTTCATGGAAGATCATCAGCCTAAAGTCTAGAATAAAAGCTGTCCATAGGTGATGCCCTTCGATCCTGTGTGGGGAAGGACCTTTAACTTTCCTCTCCAGATCTCCTGATGCTCGAGTCTCCTTTTCTGGCCTTCCCTGCCTGTGGAATTGGGGCATGACTACCAGCTACCTTTTGCCCACTCTTGGACAACAATTAGTTAGAAGGTTCTTCCTCTTTTTGAGGTGGCCCTGGAATCTCACCTGGGCCTGCTTATGATCTGGAATCTCCTCACTCTACCTCTATCCACACCGTGCTCCTGGGAAGCCATTCCCCTCCAGCACCTGCCCGGGCCAGCGGCTTCTCTGAGACACGGGGCACAATGGAGGGCAGGAACTTCCCTGTGTCCCAGCTGGCCCCCTGTGCTGCACCCAAAGGAGTGACTTGCATGATGGAGCTCCAGGCAGCATGGCAGGCCCTTGGCGGTAAGTGGGAGAAGGGGAGTCTTTCACAGGCCCTTGGATTATCCCAATTAGGAGGCCAGCACGGTTCCTATCCTTAATCCAAGGAACTCAGCCTCCATCTTGGCCTTCATCCTATTATCTTCCAGGAAGCCTGTTTCCGGCTTTCTGAGAACTGTCAACACTTTAAGGGGTCTTGAGCTATGTATTCTAACCTCTTAGTTTTATATATGAGGAAGCTGAGACCCAGAGTCAGCCCGGTGCCGCCTAGTGAGTACGGCGATGAGCACTGTCTGAAGCCCAAGCCTCTTGTCTGACAGCACTTCCTGCTCCATCAGGTTCTTCCTCCAAAGGAGCAGCCCCACCCTCACGTCCCTCTGTCCCCACGCAGGGACTCCCAGCCTCCCTGGCTGCCTGCCCTCTCCGTACCTGGAGTTCTATGTCGAGTTGCTCCGACACAGGCTGCCTGTCTTCACAGGAGGCTCCTGAAGTGGCAGCATCAGCCCTCCAGGCAGACTCACCACACAGCTCATCGCTAGACCACTGTTCATATCACCTCTGCTTCCTGCCCTGCCCCCAACTGTGGTCACAGGTCCCCCTCGCTCTCCACCCACCCACTAGCACCTACCCTGCCCTCACCTCCTCATCCGGCCCTTCTGACAGCCCTCAGGAAGCGAACTGTGAAGGCCAGAGGCTCATTCTCCATGCAGAGCAGCCTGGGATGTGGGGGCCTGGGACAAACAGTGAGGCTCAGTGTGGAGTGAGCACAGGCGCCTGAGGACTCCCACGTTGAACCCTGGTGTTAACGAACAGGCCGGTAGAGGTGAGTTCCCTGCTTCTGACCCGCAGCATGGCAGGTGTGGGACCTAAAAGGCCGTCCAGAGAAGGATCTCACAGCATGGGCTCGGCATTGGGCCAGGCTTGGGCCAGCTCGGCTCTGCACTAGCTATGTGGCCTGGCAAGATTCTTTAGCCTCTCGGTGCCTTGGTTTTCTCGACTAAAAATGAGAATAACGATAGTGTAGATCCCATAGGTTGTGAAGATTTGGGGGGTTACCACGTGCGAAGTGGTTAGAACAGTGCCTGGACCTCAGCCAGTGTTAACACGTGTGACCATTCCCTCCTTCCTGAGCAGCGTGTACGTGTCTGGGGGAGTAAACATTGTTCAGACCTCCCTGCCCACTTCCTGCTCACACGTACATCCCAGCCCCACCCAAGTTCTGAGGCCCAAGCATATACCCCAGCGCACGGTCTCCTGCCCCTACCCTTGTGAGCAGAATCAGTGGCCACACTGGTCCCAGCCTCTTCCCCAGCCCTGGCCTGTGGTTGGTGGCCACAGGATGAGTGTGCGGACATCTGTGGGGCCCCGCTGGGGAGAGAAATTTTGGTGGCCCAGAGTCGACTTCATCTTTTTGTCTTCCTTGAGGCCACAGTGAGTAATGTTTCCACAGGTTGGTTGACTCACAGGACAATTTCTGGGGGAGGGGGGTAAAATCACACTGATGTGAGATGGGGACAGCTGGTCAAGTGGGGAACTGTTCTCACAGATTTACCCTCCAGCTGCCCCAGTGATGGGAACGATAGCCACAGACCCCAGACAGTATGTGACATCATGAGGTGGTTCACACCTTGAGTTCATCTCCCGCCTTGTGTTCCTTGCTCTTACGGGAAGAGGGGTTTACGCTACCTCCTCGGCCCTGACCCATCTCTTCCCCACAGCGTCCCCCGCCCTCTCCTAGAAACTGTGGGCTCCTGATCTTTTCTAGATCCTGCCCAGGGCCTGACTCAGATGGCCGGGCTGTGAGGAGGATCGTTCTGACTGTGCTCGGAAGATCAGTTTGAGGGGCATGGAGACTCTGCAAAGTACCTGTAGGAAGAGAGAGGTGAGGTGGAGGGAACAGGTTCTAATCTCAGTTGTGCTGAGAACTTGCTGTGTGACTCTTGGCATTAGAGTTCTAAGCCCTTTCTGAGTGAGTTCCCTCCTCTGTGAAATCCAAGGGGGCACTTTAGGGATTCTAAGAATCCTTAGATTCTAAATGCCGAAGAGCGCGTGTTTGGCAGGTTTTGCATGACGTGTGAAGTAGCTAGCATCCGGTGCTCATGGCGGCAGCCCGTTGGAGGGCGGGGCTGGCACCGAGTCTGATAGCCATTGGCTTCGGCCTGTAGCACAGTGGGAGCTACAGCACAGTTCAAATGCTTCAAGCACAGTTTTTTCTTGGATATGTAAGTTTCAACTGTCAGATCCCATCTATATGGCTTATTAACAACTTTTAAAACTATATTTTATTTATTTATTTTTAGAGAGAGGGGAAGGGAGGGAAAAAGAGAGAGAGGGAAACATCAGTGTGTGAGACATACATCCATCGGTTGCCCCTTGCATGCCCCCCCACTGGGGGCCTGGCCCACAACCCAGGCATGTGCTCTCCCAGTCGAACAGGTGACCTCTCGCTTCGCAGACCGGCACTCAATTCACTGAGCCACACCAGCCAGGGCTATCAACAACTTTATTGAAATATAACTCACAATTATATTGTACAATTCAGTAGTTCTTTAGTGTATTCACAGAACTGTGCACCCAGCACCACAATCAATTTTAGAACATTTTCATCTCACTGAAGAAACCCCGTACTCTTTAGCAGTCACTTCTCAATTTCCCAACACTAATCTACTTTCTGTCTCTATGGGTTTCCTATTTTGGACATTTCATGTTAATTTAATTATGTAAGATTTGAACTTTTGTGTCTGGCTTATTTGACATAACATAATATTTTCAAGGTTTATCCAAGTTATAGCATCTGTCAATACTTTATTCCTTTTCATGACTGAATAATATTCCATTGTATGAATGCACCTCTCTGTTTATCCATTTATCAGTTAATGGATAGTTTAGTTGTTTTCACTTTCTGGCTATTAAGAATTATGCTACTATGAACGTATGAGTACAATTTTGTGTGGACAGGTGTTTTCATTTCTCATAGGTAAATACCTGGGAGTAGAATTGTTGGGTCACATGGTAACTTTTTAAGGAACTGCTTTACTGTGTGGCTGCACCATTTTACATTCCTGCCGGCAGTGTGTGAGCATTCCACTTTCCCTACATCCTTGCTACCACCTGACGTTTTGATTGTTGACATTCTTGTGTATCTGAAATTATATCTCATTGTGGTTTTGATTTGAATTTACCCAGTGGCTATTGATGTTGAGCATCTTTTCAATTGTTTTTTGGTCATTTGCATATATTCTTTAGAGACATGTCTATTCAAGTTCTTTGTCCATTTTTGAATTGGGTTGTCTTTTACTTGTTGATTTATAATAGTTTTTTATATATGTTAGATTCTAGACTCGAATCAGATATATAATTGCAAATATTTTCTCCTGTTCTGTGAGTTCTTTTCACTCTCTTGATGGTATCCTTTGAAGCACAAAAGTTTTTAATTTCAATGAAGTCCAGTTAACCTATTTTTTTCTTTTGTTGCTTTTACTTTTAATGTCATATCCAAAAAGTTTTTGTTTAGCCCAAGGTTATAAAGATTTACTCCTGTAATTTCTTCAAAGAGTCGTGTAGTTTTAGCTCTTACATTTAGGTCCATGATTCACTTGAAGTTTATTTTTGTGTCTGGAAAGGAGTCCAACTTAATTATTTTGCATTTGAATATGGTGCATGTGCGTGCGTGTGTGCGTGTGTGTGTGTGTGTGTGTGTGTGTGTGTATTTAAGGTTACAAAATATTTCCTCTTCGCAGAAAAGCTCCGTAGATGCCTCACACAGAATGCACGAGGAACATATTGATCAGGACTGTGGCTGCTTACACACTCTATATCTAATACATAAACAACAGACATGAACTGTAATCAAAAAGGTCCTTCCGCAAAACGAGTGTTTAGACTGTAATTTTTGTGCATATTTTAGGATCCAAAATGCAGTCACAGGTGTTGTTCCCTTCATCTTGCAATCATTCCTTAGTCACTCTTCTTTCCAGGGTTGTGAAATTTTGGGGTTCTTCT